TTTGTATAGTTCCAAAAAAGTTGTTACTTTTTCATTTGCAGTACATGCATCAACCACTGCTAAATTTAAACAGTGTGAAAAACACCAAACATGTATAACCATGGATTTTGAACTTCTATATATTATAACCTCTAAAGGTCTTTTAACTCACTTTGCATATTGGAAGCTCCATCATATACCGGGTCAGTGAGTTGTTTTCTCCAGTTTAATCCATAGCGTTCACATAATTCACAAAATACATCAAACATCCCCTTTCCAGAAAAATAATGTATTACAAATGCCAATTATTGATCAATCTTTGCATTATCTGTTGTAGTATCAATTATGACAGAAAACTACCAGCGTTCTTGACTTTTTGTTAGATTTCGTCACACAGAGTTTCCGCTAAAGCTTCTAACATAGCATTTTGAGAATCTTTTGACATAAAAGTGAGTCTTTTTTATCAGTATCATTCGTGTTTTCTAGATGAGCTAATAATATTGGATGCTAGTTAGATAAAAGTTTAGTGAGGCCTATAAACTTTCCTTGATTGATAGAATCATTTTTTTAAACAATTTTTCATTGTGGCCACGAAATGCTGAATCGTATTTTGAAAGATACAAAATAATATCCATAAGTACTCTTACAATTTCACGATCCTTGGATACTTGAGTATTTCCAGACCTAATTATTTATAAATCTATTCGATTTTGACTGACATACGTTGCTCTACTAATTTCTGACTCTAAATGGACTTTACAAGATTCGTGATCCTCTAAACGAGTTGATAAATGTTTCCAATCAATCCTACATCCAGTCGTAGAAAATATATTATTCTGAGCTTTAGGAGTAAGCGACAAGTCCARCAATAAACATGGTCTACTATTAGAGAATATGCAAGCCAATGTCTACGTATCATTGATAGTTACTTTTTTATAATAAACTTTAAGATTTAGGAAATTCATCTCATGGCAAATCTTTAATGACTGGTTGTAAAGCGCCAAGATTGGTAAACATTTGTAGAAGAGCTGATGAGATTTTAAAATTTATATACAAGTATAGATCATTAATATGTTGTTATTCCGTCAATGAAAGACCGTCAGCTTTAAAAACTTCATAAGCAGCCAAACTCTCTAAGTTTTGTAGATTAATTGTATTTGAATTACAATAAAAAAAAAATTATATATATATGTATATAATATGCTTGTTATAATATGTGCCTATAAATGAAATAATGTCGAATAAGTGTTTTCGTTGTTTACTCATTGGCCTATTTATTTAACTAAAATGCAAAAGTATTAAAAATTCCTATACTATTGTTTTAAAATATAACGTTAAGCAATTTGTTATTTTATTTTTTTAAATATATATATATTTTTTTTGTTTTACAACCGACGAAACTTCGTTAATATTGCTAACAATAACAAGAAATTAAGTGGTTGTGATTTAATTTATTACGATGGTCTCTCGACTGTAATATTATTTACTACTTGGTAAATAATATGGAGTGAGATCCCCAAATTATCGTTACATGTTAAATGTTAATACTTTTAACTGTAATTCAATTTATTAATTATAATAAAAAACTATCCTAATTTTTTTTTTTGATTTTTATTCAAATATTTTAAATACTTAATCTAATATAGTAATATGTCACTTATACACGTACGTTCAATTAGTTACAATTTTTTCTTTTTTTTATTAAAGTCTTAACTATAATAGTACACACTTTCTATTTGTGATCGATCTCTATATTTTTTTATTTTTGTTGAACATGTTTTTTTTCAAATTGTTTTTTGCCATTTTTATCAATTTCAATTAAATATGTGACTGGATTAATTTTCTTAAAATTGCCCTGGCCGATTTTTCTGTTTTGTGCCTTTAATTCGCTTACGTGGTCATATTTATTTTTGAATTTAAGACTAATCCCATTATTCATTTCAAAATCTTGTGAAACACAATGCACCAAGTGAAAGGTTTCATCAAAATAATCGCTAAACAAGACTTGATAGATTTGTTTAATATCGAAATTAAATTAAACTTCCTTGTCATTATTATGCATAAAATCATCGTATGAAATAGAATTGTATAATTTTTCTACAAAAATTTGGAATATACCGTCGAAAATAATTTGCCAATCCCGAAAAACTACGTAATTGATTTATGTTAGTCGGGTAGCTTACAAGTGTAATCGCTTTTAGCCCTTCGTCTGTTGGAMAGATACCCTTTTTATCAATTATATTTCCTAGAATTTTTAACTCTATGTACCCAAATTTATATTTTGAAAATTTTAATTTTAAATTATATCGTTYAAAGGTTGAGTTGATTCCAAAGAATATAAGTGATCATCAAATGTTTTTCCAAAACATGTGCAATCATCAATATAATTTACATTAATTTTATAATTTAGGTTTRTCATGATTTTATTCATAGCTTCCTGATATTTGCTTGGGCCATTGCAAATTGATATTTCCCGGTTGTWGTACAAAACGCTGTTAGCTTTTTAGCCTTTTCACTTAATTTAAGTTGATGAAAACCCGACATAGCGTCCATACAATAAAAAAATTCATTTCCCGCCAGACAGTCGTAAATACTTTGAATAACTGGAAGTGGAAAAGATTATTTAATAGTTATATCATTTAGTTTTCTATAATCTAATACCATTCTATATTGTGCTGATGACTTGTCTTTCTTTGATCCTTATGGTTTGCCTTTGGGCACTAAAAAAATTGGAAATGAGTATGGTGAATTCGATGATTCAATTATTCCCGCTTTAAGCATTTTTTTGTGTTTGTTCTTCAATTTCATCCTTCTCAAACTTATTTAATTTGAAATTCGGGAGATTCATTGGAATATTTTTGGTTAAAAAAATGTCTACTGGTTCAGTTTTTGAATCTCCCAAGTCCCACTTAGATTGTAATTCAATTTATTAATAATCATAAAAAGAAGTATCTTAATTTTTTTTGATTTTTATTCAAATATTTTAAATACTTATGCCCGGTTGCATAAACATTTACAGAACTGTTAAGTCGTTATCTGTTCTGTAAAAATAAAACCGTTCWGTAAATTGTATAGATAACAGACAAATAAACCATTATCAGCTCAATAAGTTATAGGTCCGATTTCGGATCTGTATAATGTACAGAACTGTTTATCGGGTTTTTATCACTGAATGAAAATGTTGTTATCACGTAAAACTAAATATTTGATATTTGCATTTTGCAGTTCTATTTCAAAATATAAACTATTCGATTTATAAAACATAATAGGTACATATTACATATTTACATATTAAAATGTCTTTGTCATCCTCGTCAGATGATTCTGATGAAGATATTTTTTTTGAAATTTTAATTAATCTTCCAAGACCAAGGCGGTTCAGGGATAGGTCGAATCCTATTGAAGACTATGACAATTTTGACTTCATGTGTCGCTTTAGGTAAGAATGTTTCTAATATGTATTTGTGTGTGATGTAGAGGCATAATTTTTAAATACCTCATTGATCCTTTTCWTTTTTTATTATATTAATGTAACTTGTAATGTGGTTTTTTAAATTATGTTATTCACTGTTAATAGATTGTCTAAAAACACATTTATGATACTTTTGAATATGATTGGTGAAAATATTAAACATAAAACTCTGAGGAATTCATCTTTATCCTGAACTACAACTTTTAATAGCTCTGCGTTACTATGCGACTGGAACATTTCAATTAGGTGTTTTTTTAGAAACTACATATATTATAAAGGTATTATGTATGTACATGCTATAATACCAATATTAATTATAGATGGTAATAGGCGATCATATTCGAGTGCATAAATCTACTGTTTGTAGAGTTATTAAAAGAGTGTCTACAGAAATTGCACTGATGCGTCCAAAATTTATTCAATTTCCTAGAAATGCTAAAGAGCGACAACAAATTCAATTAGGGTTTTATAGATTGCATCAATTTCCTCGAGTTATTGGTGCTCTAGATTGTTCTCATATTAGAATACAATCACCTAAAAGTGATATCGGCGAGCAGTTCCGTAATCSAAAAGGGTATTTCTCTTTAAACGTTCAAGCAATATGTGATAGCAAATTAGAAATTTTGAATATTGTAGCAAGGTAAATATGAACATTCAAAYTGTATTTAATTAAATTAAAATCACTGCCCATAATTAAGTTTCTGAATTAACTTTTCCATTTTTATTTAGATGGCTTGGATCTGTCCACGATAGTACTATTTTTGATAACAGCTTGGTACGAGCTAAATTTGAAAATAACGAGTTTGGGGATTCTCTTTTGCTTGGGGATGGTGGCTATCCTTGTAGACATTATCTCTTAACTCCTTTATTAAATCCTAGGTCGGATGCCGAACACAAATATCAAGTACGTTTATTTTCTTAAAATACAATTGTTTAACTACAGAAAAGTGTTCAACTCTGTTACTAACTTTTATTCGTTAGAAAGCTCAAATTGGTACAAGGAATGTGGTAGAAAGGTTATTTGGCGTTTGGAAGAGAAGATTTCCTGTACTAGCGATTGGAATTCGTACACAAATACAAACAACCATGGCTACAATTGTTGCTACAGCAGTGTTGTATAATATCYTTCTACGTGAAAAAGATGAGATACCTCTTGAACTAGATGATTTTGTTGAAAACGAATTGTATCAAGAAATTCCAGTATTGCCTGTTCRACAGTTGGGTAACGCTGAGAGATCAAATTTAATAAATAATGTGTTTTCTTGATTTGACATCATATTAATTGTGAAAATAAATAATAAAATAAAAAAACAAAATTGTAGTATATTTTTTTATTTTTAAATTTTAAGGTAACTTCCTGTATCCAATAAAAATTATTGTTTATAACTTGCTGTAGTAAATATTAAATAATATAATAACAAAATAAAATAACATAAAATAAGAATTTAATTTAAAGACTACTCAACATAATATTGTATCTTAGTAACATATTAATAATAAAACTAAAAAATAACAATAACAAAATAAAATATTAACAATAGATTCAAAATCACATATTACATAATTGTTTAGTTAGAATGGTTTCCTTCATTTTATTTTGTTTAAACTCAGACTCTAGAATTTGTTCTTTTAGTTTCATTTGTCTGAGTTCTGAAGCATTCTTTTCATTTTCAGTATCTTGTCTTTTAACAGCTATCTTAAGTTCAATTTCTGCAGTCTCCAAATGTAATTGAGTTTTTCTTAATGCTATTGAATTTAAATTTTCTTTCACCTTTTCTTTATCATCAATTAAACTCAAATGTTTAGAAGTCAAACGGTGCAACCCTTCATATACTTTTTTTGAAGAAGAGCCATGTTTTTTAATTTCTATATCTATGTTCTTGGTTACAGGAGTACTAACAGTTCCAACATCATGGTTAATAGATTGTTTGTCTATTGTTCTCATTACTTTGTTTCTAGTTGTTAACGGTGTTTCTGAAGATCTTTTATTTRTTAATGCATCCTGCTCAAACAAATTAGAGTTATCTGATAGAACTTCTTCGTTTATGGTTTCAATTATGTATTGATCTAGTTGTTCAACATTCATTGTCTTATTATTATCTATAAATATAATTACAAACATTATAAAACTCAACAGTTCATAATTATTAACTATAATTATATAATATGCATTAGGCATACCATACCTGGAAAATCAGAATCAGAATCAAAATGGTTTTGTAAAGGATCTAAACGATCAGCTAAGATACCAATAACTTTTTCTGTCGTATTTGATAAAGTTGAAAAATTACAGCCACCACCAGTCTTGTAAACTTCAACCTAAAATGTACGATGTTTTAATGTACAATATTCAAAGATAAACAATCAATAAAAATAATTCAAAATACCCTGTTATCACTTTTGTCCTTGCGAGCTTTCCTCTTTTGTACATCGTATACTGATTTTAATTGACGAATGCTTCTAATGCCACTAACTTGTTGACAATTGTAACCATTACCAATTTCATTCCATGCAGCATCTTTTTCTTTATTGCTGGCACCAYCAGTCTAAAAAATGAATTTCAATGTTGTACAGTACTGGTATAAGTATTCAAATACTTTTTAAGTACTCAAACATATATTTAAAAAAAAGTGTAGGATGCAGTATTTTAAATACATTTGAAAATAGAAATCTGCACATGAAGGAATACTTTTTAAAAGTATCTTTTAGAAGACTATACAATACCAACTGGAGAAAAATACTTTCATAACTAATTTTCTAATATAACACACATTAAATTGAAAATTATCTTACCTTGATATTTTCAATAATATTTCTATAGGGTATAACGAGATCAATTAACAAAGATTTTTCAGCTTCACTGAAATTTTTGCCCCTTTTCTTGTCATCCATATTGCACTTTATTATAATAGGTTTTTTTTTTTAAATATTAAATAAATATAAAATATAAATTAATTATTATTTAACAAATAAAATAACGATTTTAAATATGAAAATAATAATCACAATGGTTGTACGTGATAAGAATAATGTTTGTATTCAAACGTCTACCACGTAAGCGGTTGTAACCTGATAATTTTACAATATTTTTATGAAACGCAATCTGTTCTATAACTTGTTATTTACAGAACCGATAGATTATCGTCCCAACAGTTTAAGGAGTCGTTTTTATGCAACCGGGCATTAATCTAATATAGTTAGCATTATTCTAAGAGCAATGTTTAGATTAGGAAATKATCCGTCTATATAAACCATCTGTATCTTTTAGATCATTATCTGTTAAAATTATTAACAAATCTWTACAGTGTTTTAATATATCACCATTTTCCATTGTTTTCAACTTGCCAATGCGATGTAAAAATCCGAAATTGTCCGAATAAATCTCTAACTGATTAAAGCGTTTCTCAATCGACTATTGCATGGTCAAGAACGATGAAAAAATAATTTGTACGAAATCGATCTTCATTATTCAACACAGGTTCGTCGATCATTGCGCTGTTCATCATACTGCTGTGCATATTCTTGTTCGATTGCTTCTTTAATTGRTAACATTTGTGGATGCTTCATCTCAATACCAAACACCAACTTGAAAGGGGTCATACCAAGAGAACGCTGAAAAGAACCATTGAGAGCCAATTGTACTCGTGGTACTTGGCGATACCACTGCTCTGGCTTGTCTATGGCTAACTTGGTAAACACATTAACTATCACTGGATTGAGTCACTCGACTTGACCATTGGCTCGAGGCATACCTGCGGTGATTAAGACATAACGAATGCATCGTTCTTGACAGTAGTTCCTGAAGTCTCGGATGTGAACGCAGATCCCTGATCTATCACCAACCTCTCTGGACAACCAAACAAAGCTTCAAGTTTAACCATTCTGTCTATCACCTCGGCAGCAGTTACCCATTTAGTTGGGAACAACCAACATAACTTGGTGAAACAGCAAAGATATGTTTGTATCCCTTGGGTGTTGACGATAGTGGTCCCAAAAAATAAAGGTGCCAAGTTGACAAAGGCACATMTCTCTTGTTGATGCTCTGTAGGAATCCTTCCTGTTTCCCCTGTTTTCTATTTACTAATATACACRGAACGCAATTAGATAAGACAATTATTTTACCTTTTAGACCGGTTATAAAATAATTTTGTTTCACCAACGCCTCTGTCTTTGCCGTTMCAAAATKTCCAATGTTATGCGCGTTTCGAATGATTTCTGTTTGCATAACTTTTGGGACTGGGTGGCGAAGTACATAAACTGAATATGGTACGCAGAAATTCATACTGTCTCTTGGGAGTTACAAATTCAGTGTACTTGATACTGGATTCTTCAACTGGTTCATGGAAAAACCCATTACGCAAATCCAATGTGGAAAAGATCACTGCCCCACGTAATTGATCTACTTGATCATCAATAAGTGGCAATGGGTAGCGATCCCGTATTATTTTTTTATTAAGTGCATGATGTCGATACATAACCGACTGTGGACTCATCTTTAATGTTGTGCTCGTTTTGATTGTGGAGCCTTCAGGTTGTCTTCGATCGATTCACTGTGGTGTTTCTCTCTTAGTGGGACAGTCAAATGCCTTGTGGCTGACATTGAAAACACTAAGGCCCCCTGCTCGCATCCGGACAATCTTTAGACTGGTGCCCCCGCATACCGCAATACAACACCGTGCGTTGCCGTGCGTGCAGTATGAGCGACGTATTTCGAATTTTCTATGGCACGTTGACGGCGCATACGTTCATATAATCTTAGCTTCAGTTTAAAGTCATCAATAGAGGTAGCTACGCATAGAATAGTCTTATTCTCGATCGCGTCAAGTATACCGTTGATCACATATTCCATCAACGAATCATCCGGCACCATACCTTGTTTCGCAAGTTCACGTACTCTTAAGAAATATTGTAGAAGTGCCTCATCGTCTCGTTTATCGATGGTGGACCACAAACAATGTATATCAGCGACAGTCAGCCGACTATGAAATTTGCTCAATAATGTATTTCGCAACTCATCCCACGATCGTGCATCACTTTCGGAGCRAACGAAGGCGGCTGCCGTGCTTCTCAACAGTTTCTTGCTGTAGATGAACATCTTCAGGTCGGACCACATACACAATTCGATCATCTCTTCAAAATCACTTACCCATTTGGTGATCGTASAGTCATTATCACCCGTGAACGGTGATAACGCATCCTCGACGTTGTCGCATCTGATACCACTATCGTCAGCACATACTACCAGCTGTTCAGGTTCGCCGATATGCTGGTCGGTTTGATCTTCCCCGACCGACATTTATTGACCATCTTGCAGATTCRAGGTTATGTACTTATCATTTAATGCTCAGTGTCTCCACGTGTTGGAGAGACGCGTTTGACAGCAAATTGAGCCGATTCCAACAAATGGTAAAAACCCACAATCGTCACCTAAGCTAAACGCACAACTTCACCCTACGCAAACTGACAACGTAGACTTATCTTGCCTGTAGCACTATTTTGTTTGATCCCGGACAGGCCCCCAAAATATGTGGGATTCTGGACAACAGAGTAGGCAAGATTACTAAAAAAAACACTTTATTCTTAAYGTAAATTACAATTATTGGGTTAACACTTATTTAAATGCAACTAGGCTCTAACACACTCGTCACAACAACACCGGGCGCACATCACTTGTAGCTGCCTCAGTGTGGCGTCCGAGTGCTGGTCACGAGTGCACTCTACCATAGAGACTCCCACTCTCACATATATATTTATATGTTACGGTAAAAGTACGAATACGGGTATAACCTAGGATATACAAAATATTTCGGTAAAACCCCGAATGATTTTTGTAGTTCTGACTTTTACAAACGAAATTTTGTTAATCTTAGGATAAACAACCAGCGTTGGAAAAGGTCCGAAGTCTTACCTTTATTGCCCGCACGCGAAAATATAGACAGCACACAACTTATCTCTAGTATATAATAATCGGACACTGTTCCGCGTGCGATTGATCACGAGTTAACTATATTATTAGCTACTGTACTAGTATATAAGATAGATTTATTATATATTATTATATTATAATTATATTTAAATATTATATTATTTGTAATTATATATTAATATAMATAATATTTATTTATATTATACTAAATCTTACAACAAACATATTTATTATATTTATTTTTTTGTGCCGGGTTGACTGTTGTGGCATCTCGAGTTGCACAAAACATTTTTTGATCGGCATTTACATCGATTTGTGATACATTTTTTCAAACAGTCGCACCTTATCAAGCCTTGTCCACCAGTCAAAGACAGTTGCGATACTGCTTGACAAATACCGATTGTATTGTCTGGAATTATGACCGATTCTAAAAAATTTTCTTCGCATAAAGTGAACTGATTCCGAGTGAACAGTTGAGAAAGTGTTCCTGCTTTTGTACCCAGTCGATAATAATCTTCATCCACAACTTGTAACACCACAGCTAGTAATGTGCGGGCATCAACTTTACTTCGATCAACTTCCGGAATTTTAATTTTGATGGTTTGTCCAATTAATACAATTGACATTTTCTTGCTCGACATTTCTTTCATTTTCTAGTTTTTTTTTGTAGTCCAATATGTGATTCATCTCTATGTTTATTAATTTTTAATGCCCGYGCTGGTATTATATTTTTTTCTTCCCTTATTTCTACATGTTCAGTTTCTCCAGGTTCTTCTGCTTCTTCAAATGTCTTGTTTGCTGAAGTGTCAGCAGGCTCATCTATCTCACCTACATCAACTGTTTTTTTCATTTGGCCCTCTAAGTGCTATCTCTAATCCTCTTCTGTTTGCAGTTTTGATATTACATTTTCTGAAAATTGAATTAGCTAATCCCATTTTCATTTTAWTCCCAAACATTGCTTCATATGGAGATCGTTTGATTCCTAAATATTTAGTAATTATAAAATATGTATTAAATAATTTAATACTAAATTATTTTAAAATTATCATTAGTTGTTTATAATTTATAACAATTAAAATAATTAAGTGGACGCCACATAGTCTGTAATGAATTTTTATATATACTGAGAATTCAGTTTTTTATTCATTAGCAAAATGATTTTATTGATTTATAATAACATACATAGATTAAATAGTTATACATTGAGRTAAGTATACAATACATAGATCATGATAATATTATACAAAACAGTTATACAGGATTATTATTTMGCGAGTTTATATAATGTTAAGATATCGGCTTTGATATTAATTATACTCACAAACATGTAGAGATATAMATTTTTAATTACTTACAATTATTCGGGATATAATGTTAAATACGTTCAGGTGACGTTAACAGACGTAATCACGAGTGTAAAATGAGACGAATTCGCGTAATATTTTACGTAAACACGAAAAGGTATAGGTATATATATATTACGGTGGCGATATTATATAGTATCATATTACGGGTGATACCGCAGCGGCAAAAAACACGTATATATAGTTATATTGCAACAGACAYGATAACGGCGGCGATTACGGCGCGGATAATAATAACGGCGCGGCGGAAAACACACTCTGGCACGTGGCTAGTCGGCCGACTGCTTCTAGCCGTCCAATAGCCGTCGGTTAAGAGGCCGATTGGAGACCGAGAGCTGCAGTAGCCAGGTACTAGACACGGTCAGAGCGTGTCGGGAAGGTGTCTTTTCCAGCGTATCGGTCGCTCCTATATAAGTAGCCGGGTATCCCGGGGGCATGTAGAAGTACACGGTTACAATATATCTCTATACGGGTTTCGCACTCTCTCTCGATCCGCGCGCTCTATTGGCATTTATGTTATGTTATTTTTGTGATCGATATTATATTATTRCTGTATTATTCCGTTAGGCGTCGCGTCGTCAGTATATTCGTTACAAGTCATAATATTATACTATGATAAAATATATTTAATTATTATTTTCATATTTATTTCAAGAAATATAATTATTCATATAATACCTATAATTGAGATTAAAAATGAATAATTATTTATTTATTTTTTGCGTACATTAATTATTTTTTCTACTACATAGATTCGTAATAACAGCATTCACGAATTCTCTCCCGTTATCTGAGTGAAGTATATTTGGTGCTCCAAAAAGAGTGAAAATATCGAGTAAGCAGTATGCAACTTCTTCAGCTGTTTAAATTTAAGTGGTCGTAAAAAAAAAAATTTAGTCAAGTGGTCTTGATAGACCATTATAAATTTGTAATCGTTATCGGGTTTTGCCTGCATATCAATTAAATCCACTTGGCAACGTGAATTAATTTCGGTGTGTACAAGTACWATAGGTTTAACGGTTAGACATTTTTTAGGCATACTGTTTTTTTTTKACATAGCTAACATAGTTTTAAATAAATATTAATAGCCTCAATATTACCATTTTTATATTTACTATTAACACCATAAGCAATACGATTTCTACCTCCGTGGCCTGTTCCATTATGTGCTTCATGAATAATGTCATACAAATCATTATAACTAGAGCCCGGATAATTATGCACTAAAAAGTATCAAAATATGCCATATAATATGCAGTGAAAATCATTAAAATATGGAAAAAATATGCAATAAAAAAAAGTTATATTAAAAAATTAAAAATTATGTTAAGCACGAAAAAAATACAAATATTTAAATTTAAACACATACAAATAAATACATAATTATTTATATTTAAAAAAAAACAAAATATACAACTCAAAATGTGTGTTTTTATTCTTTATTGTTAAAATTAATTATTAAATGATATTCAAGTTTTTCTTCGGTAAAACTGTGCCGTCTATCTGTTAATAAATGCTTGTATATTGAAAATGATCGTTCAACATCTACCGAAGTTATTGGAGCAAATTTAAAAGAGCTTAAAATCATTGGATCTTTATAGTTTTGATCTAGTAGAACCACTTCCGCTTCCCCTATTAATACTTTATTAATGTTACGTAATACTGTTAGGCCTTTGTTTTTGGAAAAAATATAATTTAATTTTGTTTTTAATTTTCGCTTCAATATGCAATAAATTTTGAATTTTGCCAAAATATGCAAAAATATGCAATAACCTTTAAATATGCAGAAATATGCAAAAATATGATAACTGACAACAATCCAAAAATATTAAAAGGAAAAAAATATGCAATTGCATAGAAATCCGGGCTCTAATTATAACGAACATAGAAACGCATTTCTTCGGAGGCACCAGTCGTCGGAACAATCAATTTTTCTTCTCCGCCAATATTAACAATATCAAACCGTTTAARTCGACGATAGTGAATTGATTTTTTTACATTAATAGACTTCGATTCTTTAACTTAATTTACTAAAATTTCATATTTTTCATTTGTTATATATAATGAATTTGTATTATTTTTTTTTCAATAACTTTATTTAAAATTTCATAAAAACGTTCCTTAAGAGACATATTGAAAGGTATACTGTTCGCGGCAATTGTAAAACGAATACTGCTCGTAAAATTATTTTCAAAAGGACTAGATATCAATCAATCATCTGTATTATACTTGTTCAATATCATAAACTAAATTACAAATAACTTTTATCACATAGCACAGATAAAGTAGGAAGGTACATTTTTAGTTAAATACCTAATTGATTGTATGAGTTGGTACAGGTACACGCATCWARGTCTTCCATAATCATGATTTATATTAAAGTCAAAATGAAAATTCCCAAAGTAGATCGCAATAAAATAATTTTTAATAATAATATAAATAAGTGTACCTAAATATACAAATACACTAGTAGGTATGTAGTAGCTAATACAGTACCTGATAAACTTAAATAATTATATTATTTTTATATACGACTTTATATGACTTTTTCCAACGCTGGTTGTTTATACTAAGATCTACAAAATCTCGTTTGTAAAAGTCAGAACAACAAAAATCATTCGGGGTTTGACCTAATTATTTTGTATATCCTAGGTTTTACCGGTATTCRTAYTTTTACCGTAACATATATATATTTATAAACAATAAATTTCATTTTTCATTGCATACTTTTGTAACAATATTTATTTTTTTAAGTGGGCGTTTGTCGGATTTTKTTTGGAAGCGGGCGGTAAAGATAAGAAGTTTGGGAAACACTGGTTTAGTATTAAGCGGTATGTGGATTCCTGTAAAACATAAACTGATAATGGTACTGATGGTAATTTATAATATTAATATTACTTCAGTAAAATATAT